GATCCTTCGTTAATGATTGAAAGCTTAAGTAATTCAACAGCTTTATGCCCCATTGAAAACTCTAAGCCTTAAATTGGGCACCTAAGAACACACCAAGGCTCTACATCTCTACCAAAACATTTAATTCTCAGCCAAGGTTGAAACACGGCAGCGAAGCTATAACTCAAAACATGGTTCCTAAGTTTCGAAACAAGAATGAACAGTGAAACTTAAATGTCTTTAATAGTGAAATTTAATGAGGTGATTCAATTGAGGAAACATTGAACCTTAGATGATTCGAACAGTGTCGTGAGTGAAATGAAGCCTGAACCCTGAATTGAGACTGGAATTAAGCCGTATTCAAGACTGAAACATGGAACCCCGGTTGATTTGGCACGTGGAGCACTAAATAACGTGGAACTTTGGTTAATGTTAAATGTGAAACCGATGTTTGGAGCCCTGACGGAGAGGTGGAGCCCAGGGGTTGAGAAGCACGTGTCGGAATATGTCACACACACACGCCCACACTCACCACCCACAGATCCTGTGTGTGTGAACCTCGCCACCATAACTAAGTCACTCAGCTGAACAATGCCACACCACCACGGCCTTTAAACACACACACACACATATCACAACCACACCCCGGGATTCCCAGTCTCTCGTAAGAAAAATTTTCCTCAACTAGAGACATAAGAACACTCTCTAACTCTTTAAGATGGCGGACAAAGTGACCTGAGACGCTATCGTACAGTAATTTGACACGCTCTCTCAAGATCCTCTAAATAATAACACATCTCAGTTCGTTACCAACACTAAGAAGACAAATTATCAGATCAGACCTTTTCTTATTTCTCGTTTGTCTATCTATCTATCTATCTATCTATCTATCTATCTATCAATCTTTTGTTGTCTTGACCGACGTATCTTCAGGATGCCTCAGTGTGTCCAGGGCCAGGAGCGCCCCCCAGCGGGATCCTCACAAAGCCGGAGTTATGCATTGTGTGGCGGCAGGGGGACAATGTGTTGAAAGGGAAAGAAGGTTGGTGGTCGCAGGTGGCGGGACACGGGGGTTAAAGAGGAGTGAGGTGGGTGGTCGTGGTTATAGACGGTTATTATGTTATTTATCAAGTGTTTCATCTCTGGTTCACATCCAAGAGAGTGTGTGGGGAACTGTTTTTTTTCTCCCCTCCCTTACTCTCTGGGGATGACGTTACGCGACGGTGTTCTTGTTAGGTTGTGTGTTTACCAGAGTCACCCCAGCGTGTCCACCTACAGGTAACATCGGCTGCCGGGATCTTGTTGCTGTTGTTAATGCTGTTGATGAGTTGCTGTTGAGAGTTGCTGTTAATGAGTTGCTGTTATTAATGCTGTTATTAATGCTGTTGATGCTGTTACTCCTGTTAAAGTGCCTGCTATTGCTGTTACTGTTGATGAAGTATTTATCTTTATTAAAGCTGCGATGGCCACTTAGCTTATATCATGGTACCGTCACTTAGCTAAATATCACGGTACCGTCACTTAGCTAAATATCACGGTACCGTCACTTAGCATATATCACAGAACCGTCACTCAGCTTAATATCATGTTACCTTCACTTAGCTTACATCACGGTACCGTCACTTGGCCTACAGTATATCACGGTACCATCACTTAGTTTACATTACCGTACCATCACTTAAGTGTACATTACGGTACGTCACTTAGTCTACATCACGGTACCGTCACTTGTAGCCTACATCGACGTACCATCACATCTCACCGTCACCATCGACCTGCACTCATGTCGGATAGCTGACCAACAGGTGTGGAGGGACGTGACGCACTCCAGCCGTCACACACACACACACACACTGTATACCTGCATTATTTTCATACTCGTACAGACTGGACCAATTGTAAACTTCTATGACGGATTTATTGCATATCTATCTATCTATCAAACAGTAGATTAAGAAGCCATGGCGCGAAGAGTAACAATTTTTTTTATTTACATTGTCTACTTTCACCTCTGTAATGATTAACTACCGAGACGAGATAGTTAAATGGTGATTCGGTAGTTGCGAGTTTATAAGTACCCGGGAAGAGGCTAGTTCAGAAAGGTAAAAAAAAATGTGGCTTACACTAGATATGGTTAAAAATCGTACTCATTTTGACCCATAATAATAGTGTTCATAAGGGTTCTGGATGCCCGTGCTAGAGTGACATATGTGACCGACTCTGACTGCCCGTAAGGGATTTCGAAAGATTTACTCATAACTAATCACTGACGACAAATAATAACACAACACTTAACAGAAACGAACACTAGATATTTACCGATTATTTAAGTCAGTCAAAAGACAATATAACTCATTAAAACACTTACGTAATCTGAACAGCCGGAGCCGACCTCCCGCTCACAACACTCACAAATGACCCACTGACCCAGGCCTGCGAGTGACAAGTTGCGACACATACACACTTTCCCGGATACTTTTTGAGTGTTGTAATTTTAGGACACACCGCATAACTATCATAGATGTGACCTTAATTCTCATAACAGGTTCTTGATGTTGTAAGGTTTGTGTTACTTAGAGGTCTTACTTATGTGATTTATTTTAATATTATTTTCCTGGTTGTGTAAATATTGTGTATTCGTGCAGCTTTAGAGCGACTTTTTTTTTTTTTACTGGGATTAGCCCACCCGGGCACAGGTCACTGACCCACATCAGGGGGACGAAAATATAATAATAATAATAATAATAATAATAATAATAATAATAAATAAATAAATACAAAAACGAAAAAAATAAATAGTGATAAACGATATACATTATGTAAGTTGTGTTGTCTAAACAAGAGAAATAATTGAGACCCTGCAATTGTGTGTAAATGAGGCAGAAAGACAGATCAGTAACCTGGGACTTGGTCACAATTTTGTGATGCCATATGGCAGCAGGGTCTACCATTAGACAACACATTATGCTTCCAATATCTTCCCAGGCGGTAGTACCTCCCTGTTTGGTTATCTTTGTTTTGTTCTTCCTCACCAACACTTGCTAATACTATCGCTAATCCTAATTAAATAGATTACCAGCATTACCTAGTACAAACACTAACACACACCAACATAATCACCAACACACACTAAAACAATCACCAACACTCTCTAACACGACAGGGGCGGATCCAGGGTGGTCCTGGGGGTCCGGACACCCCCCTTTTCATCAGAAAATTCCAATACTTTTATTTAATGCAGTATTGTACTCAGGCATTTTGCATAGTGAAAAGTAATTACTATTGACCTCAGAATATCCCTTAATACCATGATATTGATCAGATCTCAAAAAAAAAAAAAAAATGGGGGAGGCTTACAGCGCCCCCCTAAAACCCCCAGCTGGGTGGGCTCACTGTGCTCGCCATGTTCCTCCACCCACAACTTCTTGGACTCCCCGTTTTGATTTTCCTGGATCTTCCCCTGCACGAACGCCAACACTCACAAACAGAATCACTAACACACACACTAACACAATCACCAACACTCCCTAACACGAACACACACAAACAGAATCACTAACACACACACTAACACAATCACCAACACTCCCTAACACGAACACACACAAACAGAATCACTAACACACACACTAACACAATCACCAACACTCCCTAACACAACTAACACATCTTCTCACTCTCTCCTTCGTTGTCTTCTCCCCGTCTCTCCCCATCACCCAGTCCTCCCTGTGTGGTAGCTGGTGGTGATGGGATAAAAACACTACTTTATTATGATGAACTAACAGGTGTTGGAGATGGTTAACGTAATACGGCCTTCGTGTCAGTCACTCTTACTTTCACGTGGTTTAAAATAATTCATTCCCTTTAAGTGGTGGTGGTGGTGAGTGTATGTAGTGGTGGTGATGGGATGGTGGTGAAATGTGGTAGCGAGTGGTGAGGTAGGTGGTGGTGGTGGTGAGTGACATTATCTTTCTGCCTGAACAACATAAGAAACACAATATACAGTAGTACTTAAAACCTTACTTATACCTCCTACACAACTCTTCACAAGGTAGTCTGGATATATCATCACAGAAGTTAGAATGATTTATCTACCTTCCCACGACAAGTGAGGACAGAAGGCTCGGTGTACCACGTCTCAGTGTGGAGAGAGAGATAGGTGGTCCTTCTATTGGTAACCTGCTGTAGTGTCCTCAGCGCCTTGTGACACCCTTCAACCTCGACCAGATAAAGAAATGTTTTTTGAACCAAATTTCCTCCTCGTGTTAAAAATGTCTCCAGGATGAAATCTCTTGTTCTCACGTTGTTGGTGTTTAGTCACGCCTCCATTCTCTCACGGGGGAAAATACATTAATCTTTGCGTGAGACAGACTCTCTCTCAGTCCTCTTAAGCCACTGAGTTTGATTGTTGCGACGAAAAGGATTAGAGATAAATTGAATTTTATGTGACTTTAAATGGACAATACATGGGGTGAAAAAAAAAGAACATCTGCCAACAATAGGACAAGACTCCGGGGGGCTGAGGTGGTGAAGTTGATCATTCAGGAGTCTGTACTAACGGAGGCGCCTCAGGGTCCAGGGTCCAGATTCTTATAACTCCCTATTTTTTTTTTTACTCAAAATAGATATCTGAAGGTATAGATAGTTTCGGTAGTCTTAGAACATTTATCATTATTTTCTGCACAAGTAAAGTGAAGTGTTTACTTATCTGGCTTGACGTTTAAACTACTGCGGGAATAATTGAATACCCGGTCCCGAGTCCCTGTAGGAGGCGGGGGACTCTATGGTTGTGATGTAAAAAATAATAAGGTACACTTTAGTCCATTTTAGCCAACAGATGACACGTAATCGTAAATAACATGGTCAAACAATCCACAATTTTCTACAAACTGGAAAATTATGGATGAAAATAACTATAGAACTGTGATGGGATATAATTTGAGTCTTTTCTAAAACTTAACCTTTCTTTTAGTAAATTTTGTATGATTTTTGTACTTTATATATTTATTTTTCATTTCCAGAATGTCTCGCCACAACAGACGGTACCATAGACTAACTCTACAGCTGGTCTTCATCACACAGCTGGTCACACGAGCTACAGGTGAGGTGTTCAGGTGGTGGAGTTGACCAAGACTCCCACACTTATGGTTATTTTCAGCCTCCAGTCCCACACACTCACGAGGGTTATAATAATTAACCTTTCTTTGTTGTTGTTCTTATTGCAAGTCATTCACATCTTATCTCCCATAAACACAACATTACTCATAAACACAAACACGAATTATCAAAAAAAAACACACACACACACACATACATACAGGTACACATACACATATACACACACACCCACCACTTGTACCACACACACACACACACACACACACATACCGGTACACATACACATATACATATACACCCATCACTTGTACCACACACACACACACACATATATACCGGTACACATACACACCCACCACTTGTACCACACACATTCTAAAAAAACCCGAAACACTAAAAAAATCAGAAACATTCTAAAAAAATCTGAAATATTCTAAAAATTTTCAGAAACATTCTAAAAAAATTCAGAAACATTCTGAAAAAATTCAGAAAGGTTCTGAAAAGTGTATACGAGGGATGAATAACAACACCAACGTATGGATAAACAGCAACAATTATTTGGTAACGTTTCGACACCACTAACACTTTCCTCAAACCTACCACCACCACCACCACCCTTACAACCCCCCCTTCACCTACCACCACCACCCCACTCACTTACCACCACCACTACTACCTCCTCCTCACCTCCGGCAGGTCAGTGTAGTGGAACGGAGACCTACGAGAAGGTGACCCGGGCGACGGTATCCGGGGTGACGGGTTCTCCTCTCTACAGCAACTCTGGGGGCACAGTGACCGAAGGATGCCTCACCAGGTACTGTACGTCTGTCTGTCCTGTGTAAGAGAGAGAGGGAAAGGGGTAAGGGAGAGAGAATGGCGGGGGAGAGAGGGGAAGGGGGAGAAGGAGAGAGCAGGGGATGGAGATAATCAGTGAAAGAGAGAGAATCGAGGAGAGAGAAGGGTAGGAAGAGAAGGATAGAGATAGAGAGAAAGAAGCAATCAGAGAGAAAAGGGGCAGGGAAGGAAGGAGAGAGAGAGGGGGAGAGAAAGAGGGAGGAAAAGAAGTAGTGAGAAAAAGAGAGTGAGGAGCAGGAGAAGGAGAGAGAGAAGGGGAGGGAGAAAGAGAAAAATAGAATAAAAGAGAGGATACAGTGTGTGCTGGCAGTACTGAGAGAGAGAGAGAGAGAGAGAGAGAGAGAGAGAGAAAATGGTAAACAATTAGTGCACAAAATTCCTCGTGATTCTCTTCCTCTCTTTTGTCTTTTCCTTCTCCTCCATCACTAAATTGGTTCTCTTCCTCTTCATTTTCTACTTCTCATTTTAATCTTCTTCATCCTCCTTCTCCTGACTCTTCCTCCTCCACGTCTTCCTCCTTCTCCTGACTGATCCTCCTCCTCGTCCTCCCACACAGATGTCGAGGTTTACAGACGTGTTCGGGGTTCATCGTCAACTACGAGAGGGAGGCTTGTTTCAGCGCTGACGTGACCTCGAACACCAAGCCCCAGCCAGTGGACCAGGCCCTCAACTACTTCCAGAAGATCTGTATCAACTGTAAGTATATGAGAGAGAGAGAGAGAGAGAGAGAGAGAGAGAGAGAGAGAGAGAGAGAGAGAGTTTTTATCCGAGCAGTGACCTTAATGAACAGGCCATCCTCATCAGTATAGCTAAAATTCCCTCACTCATCATCTGTCATTTCACCTCAGCCAATCACTCTACTTACTACATCTCACATATTTTCATTCCTCATTCCTCCCTATTCACCTCACGTCTCACCTCTCATCTTCATCTACCGTCACAACACCACCTCACACGTCTCTACCCTCACAGATCTCACTCTTACTTTCCTCCTCCGTCAGCGCCGCCGTGTGGGAAGGCGTGGATGCTGGAGCGTGTGGTGGGATTTGAGGTGGAAGGATACGATGACCTTGTACTCAACAACATTCCCACCAGACTCAAGTGTGCTGAGCTGTGTATTGGTGAACGTAACCTTAAGTGTCGCAGCGCAGAGTACCACGAAAGGTGAGTGATACGCCTGGTTCCTCGTCCTGGTGGAGCTTAAAGTTAAGTCAATCATCTGGGTTCTGATTCTGGTGCTCTGGGCTCAATAAGTTCTTGTTAGCTAGTTTGAGGCCGATCTTGTTATTTGTCGAGTTATCTACTATTTGATTCTGTAGCTATTGGGTTACCTGGGTTGATTAGCCCAGGTGATCTGGTCTATTTGGCGGCCCGTTAAACCCTCAACTCTGGCATGGGCGTCATGATTAGATCCCTCACCCGTGTTTCTGATCCTCCAGGGACGGCGTGTGTCGTCTCAGTCGCCAGGACAGAAGGACGCAGCCCCTCAGCTTCCGCCCAACGTCGCCTCACGTCCACTACATGGAGAACCAGTGTGCAGGAAGTGAGTTACTGCTCCACCCACTTGTGTGTTCTCTCTCTAGCAGACCAGGAGCTCACCTGAACCAAGCGCTCATTAACTTTACTTATTATGCACATTGTCTTGGTTATCTACTGAATAGGGTATTAATTATATAATACTTGACTGTAAATTGTCGTTGATTCGTCTCATTAAGGTATTTTAGAATCTCTGTGCTAAATGCTGTGTGAAGATATCCTGATAAAAGTTGATTATTGTGGAGGTAGTGAAGGAGAAGGTCGCTACAGTTAATCGTCCAACCTTGACAACTTAGATCGACAACTTACGTGAGGTTCAGTAATGCTTGCAGGCAGATGAGAGTGCGTGGGAAGGGTCATTACCCATTATAAGTTTACTCTAAGTGGGAGATACACAAAATAGAACAGTGTACCGTACATAATTACAGGTAGCTTCATAAACCAACACACGTAATAATGCTGAGTGACTAACCTCTCCCTACCTCCCTCCTTCAGTCCCGCAGACGCAGCACTGTGAGTATGAGGAGCTGCCCCAACAGGACATGGGTCACGGCGACGTTCAGTTCGCCGTCAGAAACGTGGCTGAGGTAAGTACCACCTCCAGGAGACTAACTGGTTAGTTCCTGGTATGTTGATATATTCATTAACTTTTCATTAATTTGCTTATTTGTATTAAATAATCATCATAAAGAATTGAGGAATATTTGCTTTTCCAAGACGAGTATCATATCAGACATATTTGTCCTAAGACATTATATTTAATGTCTGCATTGCTGTTTAACTGTAGTCAGACTTATCAACTTTGACTCAACTGTCTTAGCAAAACCATCACGCCTCGCACCACATCAGGCTCAGAGGTAATCAGCCTATCCGTCTCCCAGGAAGATGCTTAACAAGCCCGGGAGGACTGTCAGGCTAGGTACACTGTGCTTGTGGCGCTGTGGAGTATCATGTTGCTCACAGATCGTTTACAACAAATTTTAATCATTCATACATCTATTACATGTCAGAATAAATATCTTTTCTGTATCAGTGAGTCAAGGTGGAGTCGCCTGTGAGCCAAGTTGAGCACTACAATAAGTCATGGCGATATCATGGCCCCAGCCGCCCAAACAATTAATTAGCTAATAGCTTGTTGCAGACCATCCAAATACTGCAGTTTTGTTTTTATATATCACATTGTTAATTTAAAATAGGAAATATGATAATATTAAGTTAGAAACGACGACTGTAGCCATCCTGAACATAAATATCGTTAGATTATCTTAACGAGTATCATGGATTTATATATAAAAATATGGACAACATCATGCAAACAGCCATCCACACTCTCGCAGCCGACACGTTTACTCACGATGTCATCCATCATCGGATGGCAAAATGTTGTCTTTATAATGCAATCTGTGTTTAGAACTTATACATTTTAGATATAATAGTAGCCCCCCTGAGTATTCCATCACACCTGGCTGTCCCGACACACCTGAACACAGTGCTAACAACAGTCGTAGTTATTTCATTTTCCACTTACGTTCCTTCACAGTGCCAACAAACATGCGAGTCGGAGCTGTCGTTCAACTGCCGGTCGTACACGTGGTACTCTCATGCCAAAGTGTGTCGACTGTCTGGTGATGACATAGTGTCAGCGGGGCCGTCAGCCGTCAACCCCCAGCCAGGAGCTACCTACTACCAGCGCACCACCTGCCTCGACCGTGAGTGTCACCTCAACCTGGCAAACACTTAATAAGAGAAAACGGTATTGTGGCTAGGAGCAACTACTCTATTCACTAAATTTTCCGAGTCTTCCCCCACCTCCACTTCGCTTAAACCCCTATACAGTATATGTTCAGAGAGACTGTAGGTATATACATGTAAACAATGGTAAAAACAATATGAACCCTTAACAACCCTGTTCCCACTCCAAATACGCCCTCCCCTATCCGGAAACTCCCCTCTCCCCATCCCCACCTCCACTCACCTCCTCTCCTCTGCTACAGTGAGGTTGGCGTGTAGTGTGGACGCCATGACAGTCCAGCTCCACACTTCAGAACCCTTCAAAGGTCGTCTCTTCTCAAGGGACTTTCCTGCTTCCTGTCACTCCCTCGATAAGGGCAGTACTGACACTTCTCTCATCATCAAGGTATGTATATTATTAACTTTTTCTGTTAACTATAGAGAGTTCCCGACACTTTCCACACTGATACTTCCCTCAACACCAAAGTATGTATTACCTTTTAGATACTCAGCAAGGACAGTACTAACACTTCCTTTACTAAGAAAGTCTCTACCAAAACCTACTTCTTCATCTACGTGACACTTTCCATTTAGGAGGAACCGAAACTTAATGTCACCTAACCCAAGATTATGTTCCTCCTTCACACAGTTCACGGACCCGGAGTGTGGCGTGATGGATGAAGGGGGTGGCATCTACAGCAACGTGATAGTGGTGCAACATCATCCGGTCATCCAGAGACGGGGAGATAAAGCCATCAAACTCCTCTGTCTGTTTGAGACCTCTAACAAGACGGTCACCGATAGTTTTAACTTTATTGTCGAGTAAGTAGAAGCTTTGGGTTGTCATGGTTTGGCTTTTCGGTATCATCATTATCATCATCATCATCATCATCATCATCATCATCATCATCATCATCATCATCATCATTCTGGATCAGCCGTTTCCTCCACCTAAAATAACATCAATAATTTCAACCAAATTTACTTTATTCTTCCTGCCGACAATTTCTTCCCTTAACCCAATAATCTTTTTTTTTCTGGAATTTAGTTCCTGTGAGCAATTTCATTTACCAATAAAATCATCCTGAAATTTTTAGTCTTCTGAAATTAAATTCCCACAAACAATTTTATTTACAAACAATTTCCTCCTTCAGTAGTAACTATCCTGGCGGGGGAGTGGCCACGGCCATCGTCAACGCCACTGCGCCCACCCCCAGGATACGTCTGCGCATCGTTGACCGTGACGGCAACGACATCAATGGTGCCAGACTGGGTGAAGAACTCTACCTCAGGCTGGACTTGGATAGCGACAGTGAGTGCTGTTGGCTTGGTAATGGTGGTAGACTGGTGGTGGTTGACTGGTGGTGGTTGACGGACTGTGGCAGCAGATAACACCTGCAACACGTTCGTAATAGTATATAATTCATATAAAATGTTCCTGGTAATATATATAACACCTGTATCACGTTCCTTACAGGTGTATACGGTATCCTGGCGCGTAACTTGGTGGCAAAGAGCGGGGATAATAGCGACTCCATCATGCTGCTGGACGACCGAGGGTGTCCAGTCGACCCCGTCATCTTCCCCTCCCTCCAGCCTGTGCCGGGGTCCAGGAGCCTCCAAGGCAAGTTCGAGGCCTTCAAGTTCTCCGAAGACCAGGTGGTGCGCTTCCAGGTCAACGTCCAGTTCTGCCTGGAGGAGTGTCGCCCGGTGAGTTACAGATGGTTCTTGGGTTCTGTTTGGATGAGTGACGCTTGTTGGGTTCCAGGAGACGGTTCTTGGGGGTCTAGGATAAGATTTACCTGGATGAGTTAAGTTTGGAAGTCCTGGCTGATTCTACTTGAGTTTTAGTTTACATACCTTGTAAAATAAACCAAATCTAACACTCTAATTGTTTTGTGTGCCAAATCACACAAAAAAGAAAACATTTCCTTATTTCAATGATCCTCTCATTTCCTCATCTTACTTCAATCACAATTACCGCAACTCCTTTCTCCTTCCATTTCAATTCATGTTCGTTCCCATCAGGCTCAGTGTGGTGCAATCGTCTCCTACGGGCGTAAACGTCGAGGGCTGACAGCAGAAGGTGGCCTGCTGACACTAGACGGGGAGCTGACCTTGGTGGGGGGTGAAGTGACCCTTGGAGGTGACGACGTGGAGGAGATTGACCCCGACACCATCTACCATGAGATGCCGCTGCAAAAGGAGATCATCGTCAACAGTAACACGGTGCAGCCTCTCAAGACTGGTTTATTACCTGAGGAGACAGGTGAGTTACTTCTTGTCACCCTTAAGTTTCAAGCTTTGATTTTATATTTCACTCTGTCTTAAAGCTGAGATTTTGATATAATACTTTGAATGTTTACTGTAATGTGAACCATCATCAGATTATGATACATATCTTTATTTTAAAGTTTTGCTAGATTGTCACATGCCGATTTTAACTTCGCAATTCTATATTCTTCTTCTTCTTCTTCTTCTATCATGATGAAAAGTCCTCAAATAATTCATCGATATGTTGTTGTTTGTTGTTCTTTGTATTATTCTGTACTGTGTTTATATTCTTACTCTGCTTGTCTCGTCAGATGCACGTCGGCTCGCCCAGCTGGTGTGCACGTCACGGGAGGTGGTCATCGCCATCATCGTCTCCGCCGTCATTCTTCAGGTTACTCATCGTCATTATTTCTTCTTACATTTATATCACATATTATTTTGTTTTATACATTAATTTTAGGTGGGGAGGGGGGGCCAAACAGACTCGGCCTGGCTGCTCAAACTGGGAGCGCCTTCAGGGCACGTCTCGTCTCGCTGGTGGTTGACAAGTGTGTTTGTGTGAGTGTGTGTGTGAACAGCAAAAAATTATTCCCAAAATAACTCACCTCAGGTACTGTCACCCCTTACAGGTGTGTATAATGAATTTCTTCCATACATGTGTGTATGATGTGTCCCTCTCCTACAGGTGTGTATAATGTGTCCCTCCCCTACAGGTGTGTATAAAGCGTCCCTCCCCCTACAGGTGTGTATAATGTGTCCCTCCCCTACAGGTGTGTATAATGTGTCCCTTCCCCTACAGGTGTGTATAATGTGTCCCTCCCCTACAGGTGTGTATAATGTGTCCCTCCCCTACAGGTGTGTATAGTGTTAGTGGCCATCATGTGCGTGTTCGCGAGGCGGAGGAAACACACGCCCGAGGAGCCTCACGTCTCCACCCTCAGTAGGGGAGTCCGCTCACCTTACACCGTCACCTCCGACGACTCAGTTAACACACTCAAGAGTCTCAGAACGTCCCTCAGAGACTAGTGATGGAGCCTTGTGTTTAGACTCTGCCAGACTTTCTACTGAGCCCTGCCAGATCTACAACACTCTGCCAGTCATAGCCTCACTCTCCAGGACTCCGGACTTTGTAATATATTGTATAATCTTCTTTTAATGACTACTGTAATGACTCTGAGGGTAAACCAAAACACAAAATTTGAATATATATTTTGAGGTAACAAATGGGAGGAAGTTTTTTGGCTAACGGTGAAGGTATTACGTTAAATAACCTCTGTAAAACATTGTATATTTTTTTCTATCCGTCTTCTTAACATTTTGAGTTGAGATAATTTTTTTTCTTTATAAACTTTACGCTCAATTGAGACTACTTTGGAGTAATGTTTCCCGGGTTTTAACTTAAAGGACAACTTCTATATTTACGAGGAGAAGATAATCAGTGTCACTCATGGGAGAGAGATATTGAGACCGAACACGACACAAGGGAAGTCTCATCCTGCCATAACCTTACCTTAAGTGTCGCCGCGTCTCGTGTGTTCCTCCTTCAGTCGTACGGTAGACACTGACTTGTGTGAAGGTTTGACTTATGGTGGTCGACGTAGATCAAGATACAGACGTTAATTCACCTCATCCTTCTCTTCAGGGCAAATTAATTATTAACAGATAAGCACACACGTAAGCATACATAAAAAAAACGCATCTAAACACTTAACACTGTCTCGGAAATCCAATATACTTTTGTCTTTGCCATTTTGATTACATTATACCCTGGTTCACACTGCCGAGACCACCGCACAACATACATGACAAGATGTTGAAAATAGTTCCGACTTACATTACAGACCTAAGAATAACAGATATACAGTGAAATCTCCATATAACGGACTTTCCTCTGCATACAATCCGCGAGATGGGGGTTTCACATCTAACGGACCCTCGATATAATGGAACTTCATCTCTATATAGTTCGTTATATAGTGGTTTCATTGTATTATATATAGCAGAAGGCAAATTACTAAGAGGATTCTAAGAGGATTATGTAAAGTAGGGATAACGAGGCATTACTGTAATTACTAAGGATCGGTACCTCAAACTATGGGGCCGGGTTCAAGAGGTTCACAGGGTCAAGGTTCACTTCATAAACCAACACAAGACAAGGGGTTCACAAAGAATTATCAAGAGATTCGGTAAGACAGGGTCAGGGGTTCTATAAGTCTTCCCTAACTCAGTGTCTTATAACTGGCCAACAGCTCAGTGATTCACCCTCTCGATCATAGACTCTCTAATCAGATGGATCAAGATTAAGATAAGATACAGTTCAATAAGACAAAAGGATAAAAACTCTTAAGATAACACTAGACGACAGATGTTAAAATATAATGTTATTTGAGTAGATTTAACCTGCTAGAAAGAAGCTCCGCGATATAACTCTCTCATTCACCTGAGTATTTATAAACCAAAGATTATATTATTTAATGTCTCCTTATGCCAAGAAGTTAATTTTGGACATAGCTTAAGGTTGACAGGAGAGAAATAGACGGGAGAGAAATTGACAGGAGAAATCTCAATAAGCGTAAGGTAATAAGTCTACGTTTTGATTTATAATGACAAACAAATTACCTTTCCCAGACAGCCACCTGGTCAAGAGTGTGCACAGTTAACTTGTCTTGACGCTACAGGGAGGGAGTCATCCAAACCACAGCTGGGTCGTGTGGCTGTACATATATGACTCTTAATACACATGAAACAAGTAAAAGAAAATAGTAATTCTTACGCTTAATAGATATATTTCTTAGAGAGAAATAGAGGAATTATGTTGAAAAATAAAGAGCATGCATGTAAAAATAAACATATTTGAGGAAGTGTATCTCTGGAAAATAATATACTTTAGTGCTTCACTCACGAATGTCCACGAGTTTAAAAGTTTACCAAGAAAATCGATTAAAACATAACTGTGTTCAAAAATGTTTCAGTTTTTATGGAGTCATAAAAAGACTTTATAATTAACACGATACCTTTGGGTCCCTGTCAGAGCTGCCTCACCTCACCTGGAGGGGCAGTGAGAAACACCTGCCTTCTCTCGTGTTATTGACATGCTGTTCAGTTATCAAAGACAATTTTAAAAAAGGAAAATCTTAGAACGAACAGTGGTCATGGTGTTGTCACTTACCGCTGCCATGAGTATTTTGTCTTTACTCATTTCTCTCTATTTTCTTATATCAATCCTCATCCTCATTCTTATTTTGACAGGAATGAAGTGAAGGATTAATTTTATATATTGTATAAATATTGTACAGCACGTTATATAAATAAAATTCACTCGGATAATTGTGTTGTTTATTCCTAGCCACAAGGAGGGTGAAGGGGTGTCGGTCAGCAACCTAACCCCACCAGGTAGCGTTAGGGTGTTTAATCATCAGGTGAAATAAGCTGGAGCTAATCTTCAGGTAGTCTACACTGTCTGTTGTATTTTACCTTTATAATGAGTATATGTTTATGCATAGATCATATTGAATATAAATAATGTTTATATAAATATCATATAAAAATATAAAAAAATAATACAAATTTGAAGGATAATCATCAAACAATATTAATGACATGTTTTAATGTGTACACGAGTTAAAAGACAAAATACCAACACTTTGTATGGAATGATAAGCGAAACACACACACAAAACATATACACTACACACCTTCCGTCACAAACATCGATCCTGGAACAAAGTAAAATACATAACTTGAACACATATGGAGAATACTTTAAGTTATATCAACACAAACAATAGCAAAATGTGATGAAATGTTTTAAGAGAGTTTCAATTACGTGTTTAGTTTTAGTGATGGATAAACATTACAAGACAACATTAATAACATCGATTGCCTCTTGGTACTTGAGGCCTTCACACTAGGCGTTAGACCTATGGTGTGTGTGTACCTCTCTCTGGTAGCGTTCATCTATGTATGTATTATATATATGACTTATATACAAGGGTCGTATATCTGACCTACATAGAAATATATATATGGAATTTCGATTTAAATTAAGAAACGAGAAATATATCTTATCAAGAGATCGTTGAACTAAAGATGAAATATACGATGTCTATAAGTCTGAACATTCTATAAACACTGTAACGTGATATTTTTAGATCATGTCTATTAGTAAACATCTGAATATTACATTAACACCATAACAATAATGTTTTTTCATTGGATTTTGGAGACGATGTTTTCAGTTAGCATTTCTCTAAACAGTTTAAAAGACTTGTTTATAACATATATCCTGGTCCTGACTCACAAAGGCTCGTACGATAAGCATTCTTGTAAGTGAAGATATAAGAATTGCACACAAGGAGTTGACTTAAGCTAAAATACAAAATAATACCCCAAAATACTTTAAATAAACACTGAAACTCTACCTTAACTGGAAACATTCACTTAACACCAACTCAGAGATAAAATTAATTAACGTAATCTCTTCAAAAGACCATTAACCTCAAATTTATCTACTAACTGTTATTAAGTGAGCTTATGAACGTATCTAATTAAGGTTGAGCTTCAATGTAATATTTATGCTATCTTTAAATGTTATGAACTGTATATATGCAGTGAGCGATCGTTAACCTTCAATCATGAGCAATTTGTGAATCTGGATCCGAATCGATAAGCAAACGTAGTATTCCAATCCTTTGTTTTTATTTAAATCGTTTAAGAATGTGGTGTATAGAATGATCCATCTAGCACACGTCAACAAAGAACTCAGAATGAGGAGCCATATCCAACAGGTGTAAATATGGGAGTACATTATGATGCAATTACTTTTGTAACCACTATCGCAGCCTCCATGTCACAGTGGCACAATAGAGTTCCGAGGAATGTTGAGAAATAGTTTAAAACCACCCTAAAGGAAGACTAATGCCTACACGACATTAAATTGATACTGGGAAAAGTGCTGCTCTTGAAACCATTATAAACTATAATTCAGTAGAGTGTTCATTTTATCTAAAGTTGTGTCGATAGCAACATGTAAGCTTTACAAAATACTAAAGGTGTTACGGTAAATAGTAAAATTACCTCTCTCTACGAATCGGTCACCACAAAATCTCCCTTTTTCCATTGTATTTCATTAAGTACAGATTTAACGTTTAAACAGTGAAGAAATGAAATAACACATTCATTGTACACCAAAAAGACTAAAATTCGTGATTGAATAATATATGTAACTACATGTACTGTAGCTGTACATTATATAGCCATTAGAACGTACCTGTGAAAGAAAACGAAGACGGTGTGGAAGAAAACATTTGCTCTGAGAGGGTAACTTCTCTATACTGTACTGTACATGCCAAACTTCACCACTCTGTCTAATTCTGATGATGTTTCAGAATATCTTTATGAAAAATCAATTTGAAACGATTAATTGTCTAGGTGAGCTGTAAGAAAAAAATATGTTCTTTACAATAGATGATTTGAAGACTGACTTTCTAATAATATAAAAGGAACTTATATAAAATAGGGAAAAAGGTTGTCGTCACTTTGCATAAAATAAATTCCTCTCCGGATTTTAATGAGACTGCCATAAAAAGGAAGAAATGGCATTCAGTTGTATATTGTTACAAAATGAAAAGAGGAAACAGGGGAAATATAAACTTAACAAATAATGCAGGTGGGACAGCACATCCTGCTTGACACTGTATGATATAGGAACAAAAGTCCACAACACACCCGAGTTCACATGGCCTCCTACGTTTACTACTACCAGTGTACAGTGCTTGTGTTACCATCATTTACCACAGTCAACGCACACAACACTGTTTTCATGCATTTTCTACAATATCGAGAAGACTAAACTAGTATTCTAACTGGTAATACAATAATGTACTCACAGCATCTTCCGTAATATCGAATAGCAGTCATTACAGATATACTTCACACATTACACTGAACACAGTCGATAGGTATTTTATCCACAATTCTACTGTATTATAACACATGGATAGTATTATATAACGTCAATTATTTAGGAACCTATAAAAAAGCTTAATATCAATAAAAATCACAATAGATAGTACTTACTATTCTCCGCCGCTCCTCGTGTACCGTGTGTGGTCGGGTCAACACAACAGAAAAATCAGACAAGTTACAAAATGTCGCTTCACTATAATAAAAAAAAATCCAAATCTTTATATCAGCTCAGATTAACACTTGGCTTTCCACCATTGTCTGTTTCTCTCGGGCTATTTACCCATTTATTTATCTGTTCATCTATTGTTTGCATTACTTAGCGTCCATGTGAGAGAGCCAGGCTACAGGACTGGCCTCTCCCCACCAGTGCTCGACAGGATGACACCAATCTCGAATGTGTCAAGTAAATATCACTTTGTTTATTGTAGCATGAAGAGAGTGAGGGTCGTTTTCAAGACTGTCACTCCTCCATGTTCTTATTTCTGATATCACAGATGCATTATATTCTTGATACAGACTGTTTAAGGGAGAGAGTTCAGCGTATGATAACATTTCTCCCCGGTAGAACTTATTATGTACTGTAGTATTAAGTTGTCATTTCTGGGCCTGAATGGGGAATGTGTGTGTGTGTGTGTGTGTGTGTGTGTGTGTGTGTGTGTGTGTGTGTGTGTGTGTGTGTGTGTGTGTGTGTGTGTGTGTGTGTGTGTGTGTGTGTGTGTGTGTGTGTGTGTGTAAAGAAGACGTTTATAGCATCTTCTTGGGTCCAATTAATTATAAGAGTTATGCTAACCTTATTTTATGGACGCAAAGTCACACTATAAACGTCTCCTTTACTGTATACACACACACACACACACACACACACACACACACACTCCACAAAACAGTGTCGCGCCAACTTTGACCCCCTGACATGACCCCTTACAGAACCCAGACTCCAGGTTTATAAAAGAGGACAGCCTCCCTGAAATTCTTTTCTAAGGAATCACACATCAATGGCAGATCCAGCCACCAGTCTCACCGTGGACGGCGCCTATTTCTGACAGTGATTTCAAGCGTTGTAACCACCTCATAAATACATTAATGTAATTAATTTTAAGAGGAGCTAATCACTGTTCACTAACCAGATTCCAATGAAAATGTGGCAATGGAAACTTCGTAAACATTCCTTAGAAAACCCAGGATTTACGCTGACTTTTTTTTAACTCTTATACCTGACAGTCTCACCAACTTTTATCTGGCCTTAGTCCAGTCCTCGTGCTGGAAAATCCACTTTTGGCCCTTGTTGTAAGAGTCACACTTCTGGAGTGACAAAGTCTCTGGGTTGGCCTTGGAGGGCAGACCGAGGCACATGCCCGACATGAGGTGCTTCAAGAGGAGGTTGTCCTCATTGTAAGTCCACCGCTGACGCTCGAACTCGTTGCACGCCATGATGCGCACCTGAGGCTCCGGGGATGAGTCCGCGTCAGGAGCGTCCAGACACACACTCTCGTCCGTCATGATGTATCCTGCCAGCACCAACACCAACCATTATTATCAATGGAACTCGCAATGTCCGTAAAAGATAAGCTTTTAAAATTGTCAAAATCTAAGCTTTTGAAAGCTGTAGAATCAAAGAAGTTCAAATTTACTTCAAGCAATTGATTAATTTCAAGCAATTAAATACACATCATCCATACTGAGGCATGGGTTCTGAGATACAGACATACAAAATAAAAACTGACCTTTATTGGTGAAGACGAAGGTCTGGAGGGGATAAGTCTCTATAACACACTCCCGGAGCACAGCTGGACCCGTCGGCTGGTTGCTGCCGCTTCCCTGACCGACAGGCTTCTGCAGGCACCGACCCTGCTGCTCGTGGCGGATCTGTCGACACGTGACGGAGGTGAGACGGTGGCCAGATATGTGATACAAACCAATATAGAGCATCTTCTTGATAAAGTAGTTTTACTGATAAGAACATTGTACCACGAAAGGTAAAGGAAAATAACTTCTTTGTCCATCTATAAACTGATAATAGATACAAAAGCCAATGTTGTAGGACAATATTTTAATATAATTTATGGTCTGAGATTCGACAGACAGCTGTGAGTAAATATGTTGTGTGATGTTCGGTTATCAGTGTTCATGAGATCATCTGATATAAAGACCACAATAGTGACCTACATCATACATAACACAAGGATATGTTCGGGTCATGGATGATGGTTTATCTATGGTTGATTTTCACTTTCGGACGGCAGAGATAAAATGAAAAATAGCAAAAACATTGAACACACACAGACCTTGCCGAAGGATCTGTCCTTCATGGGGAAGAAGTGCTCGGGCCAGATGTTGTCCAGGTACCACTGGAAGTTGTGACAGTTAAGACGGTCCCTCAACATCAACCTGTCCCGTACCGTCACGTCATCCCTCACACGCGCTGCTTCTGTCACGGGCAAGATGAGGAAAGCGTGAGGTAATGAGGAGGAAGATCTTAAAAGGGTAAGGGATTTCAGAGGGCACGGTAAGAGGAGAAGGTGCATTGAGGAACTAGAGTGTGTATTGGGAGAAGGGAAAGCGTGATGAGGAGCTGCAAGGGCGTGGGAAGATATATAAAGACGTGGTAGGGAAAGAAGAGACTTAGACAGTAGGGGAGGATATCAGTGTGCAAGCTCTGAGAGAGGTAGTAAGGCGGTGAGGGAGGGAAAGTGTATAGGACGGGGAGGGGTGGAGGGCGTAGTGAGAGGGAGAGGAGAAAGCCGTGTTGAGGGAAGGGGTGAATGCAAGTATTGAGAATATTATCCGCTTACTGTGAAAGGCAAAGAGGGGCGTTGTGATGACCACTTTGTAAAAGTTGGATTATTCTGTGAATGGTTGTCTGAGATAGTGACTGGATGTAAGTGGATTTTAAACTCACTCACTCACTCACTCACTTACACACTCACTCACTCACTCACTCACTTACACACTCACTCACTCACTCACTCACTCACTTACACATAGAGTCACATCTGTCATAAGTTTTAATTTTTGATGGACTTGTGTAATGAGCTAAAGACTTCAGTTGTTGAGGCGTAGTAGTAAAATTGTAACATCACTGCGACTCACTCACTGTATATATGTTTTTTCTTGCATTCTGTATTAGCTAACATACCAGAGTTGATCTTGAAGTAAAACTCAGCCCAGTCATCGAGCCAGACCAGAGCCACACGAGCCAGGTTACGGTAGAGCACCCCACCGACGCCACCCTCACCCGGAAAGGTGTAGGGCGAGCTCTTCCTGAAGACGTGGCCGACGTGGCTGCAGGGGGCAATTTCCACTGACCCGCCACACATCCACACCTGCCGGGGAGGGAAATTTGTAGCAAAGATACATTCCTTTAAGCCGGATCTTAGAATAAAGGCAGTGATACATTTTAATTGTTTATGTGGTAACAAATACTAAAATAAAAATTATGGCAGGTAACAAGGAGCTTAAACAAGTGGGAAATTTTGTGTATTGGGGAAGTAACATTAGCTGTGATGGTCGATGTACGGAAGAAATCAAAACAAGAATAGGTCAAGTAAAAACAGCATTTAATAATCTAAAAGACCTAATGAAACGGGACATTAACGTCAATTTGAGAAAAAGGTTGCTGAATGACAACGACTATTGAATGGGTCAGATGCGAGGACACTTTCAGCAGACACCAGAAGGAGGTTGGAGGCCTTTGAACTGTGGTGTTATAGGCGAATGTTAAGAATAATCTACACTGACAACACTGAGAGGAAAACAAATGAAGAAATACTAAGATTATCAAAAACTTCAAGAGAAATACTTGAAATGTTCAGAAAAAGAAAAATTAGATATTTAGTCATATAATGAGGGGTGAGGGGATAATAACATACATATTAATGGGCATTGTTGACGGTAGGAGGGCCAGGGGAAGGCAGAGACTGAGATGGATGAATGAAATTAAAAACTGGTTCCTTAGAGATACAAAACCTTAGAGAATTGGTAAAAAACAGCCCGAGAACGTTTAGAGTGGAGGACTGTGGCTGCCAACCCTCAGATATAAGGGCGGTCGGTACTCTGATATAGTAACAGTTATACCGGTACATTTATCCAATACACTGAGTCTGTCGTCACCACACAGTTACTTGAACCATTTAATACATAAATACTGTTACATTCTGCATCTAGATTCTTGACTATATCGATCCCAATAATTTATGATTTAGTTTAATTTAACGACTGAAGACGTTTCATTATGGAGAGCAGAAACATCTCTTCTTGTCTTAACCTCTTGAGAACGATGACTTGACTCTTTAAATACGAGTACCACGTCCTCTTCCCATGAGATGACATTGTGCTCGTGGGTTAAATCCTCGTACTCAAGGGGGCTAAAGAAAATGGACATCCTTCTGGAGTCTTACCCTAAAGGACATCTCAAGGTTCTCTCCTCCCCACACGTCCATGTTTCTGTCGTAGGATCCCAACTGGTAGAAGTAGTCCTTGTGGATACTGAAGAGTCCTCCGGCCATGGCTGGAGTCCTGCAGGAACGAGGGAGTTAAGGTATACACAGGAAGAAGACAAAGACTGAAGGTGTCACACAGTTAAAGAAACACTGAACTAACTCAAACATCAACACGAAATTAAAGAGTGATGTAGTTTTCGATAATAAAATATGATGTCTTATTGAGCAAGATACAACATTATAGTTTATGTACATGAGAGGAATAAAGTTTATGTACATGAGAGTAATAAAGTTTATGTACGTGACAGTAATTAAGTTTATGTACGTGACAGTAACACAATTTATGTCCGTGACTAACAGAGTACGGTTGGCTAAGACAATTGGCTCAAAAACATCTTTAATACAAGTGAGGCAAAACTCCTACGCTCCTCAATCACTAAAATATCCTACGTTAAGACGACCATGGCAGAGGCATCCATCACCACCCCACCTGTAAGCCTCGGTGATATCCTTCCTCCTCTCGTCAAGTTCACGCTGTCCTAGAGTGTACCAGCGGAAGTGAAGGTTCCAGTTGAAGGCTCCCCAGTGTAGCTCGAAGGACCTCACGTACTGGAAGGTGTCCTCGTGAATAATGTCGATAATGGGACACACAACCCGGGTCATGTCCTCCGCGATCCTCGACAGTAGCGGCTCCAACCATCCTGGAATCGTATTACAAGATTAAATCCCTTAAGTGTTATGATTTAATCCCTTGAGTATGATTACCAACCGCATGAGTACATTGGGATTAATTAAATTATCATGACCCACTAGAGTACAGTGACCTAAATCCTTGAGTAAGATGATTAAACCCTTTGATTATAATGAGTAAATTCTTTGATTAACGTGAAACATGGAATGAAAAGAGGTGTGTGGTATACCTGTGGTGGCCTCACAGTGGGCATCAAGGAAGGTGAGGACCGTGCCCCTGGCCTCCTGAGCTCCCAACAGCCGGGCACGGATCAACCCCGTCCTTACAGGTGAGCGGATGACCCTCACTGACACGGGAAGCTTGGCCACGTACTCGTCCAGAGGCTCCTGAGGACACCATGACGTCAGTGATAACAATAAGGTGAATGATAGGAACAGGTGGGAGGGGCAGGTGGGAGGAGACAGGTGGGAGGGGCAGGTGGGAGGAGACAGGTGGGAGGAGACAGGTGGGAGGGGCAGGTGGGAGGAGACAGGTGGGAGGGACAGGTAGATGGAAGGGGTCACAACACCTAATGAACGAGATATTACCTACAAAATTAAATATCTCCATTTCATTAGACCATTTCCTCCTCTTATTAACAACCTCAGTCTGGCGGTGATGGAAAACGGAATTAACTCAGGATCAAGATTTTTTTTTTTACCTCTCTCCCCCTTGGCATTTAATCTGGTTTATTTTTCCCATTATTTATAAACATTCTTCTATCATCTTCTTACTCATACGTCAACACCGAACGATAAATGTAAACAAATAAATAAATAAAAACCTTGAAGGGAATGACAAGTGTTTTTATTTGTTGTATAAAAGGTGAGGTGAGGTTAGGTTAGGTTAGGTTAGGTTAGGTTAGGTTAGGTTAGTACAGGTGGACACTAGACATACTATAGTACCTGTAAGCAACCTGATATTATGTGCTGGTCTAAATAACATTCTTCTCACGTCTGATTATTTGAAAGGTATCGTGTGTGTGTGTGTGTGTGTGTGTGTGTGTGTGTGTGTGTGTGTGTGTGTGTAGCAATCTAGTCCTTCCCTATGTCTCAGATGTGTCACATTATTGTCTCTCTCTGTCTCATTACCTGGTCATCCAATCACCAAGCCTACAATACACCTGTGGAGTTGATATTACCTGAACAACTTTTAATAACCGAGTGAAGTAAAAAAAAAAAAAGAATTAAAATCTTGCTCCGAAAACATTAAATTAGGGATAACTAACTCTACTAATGACCCCTCAGGTGGTTGAAGTTGATTGAGGAGTCATTAGTACACCTAATTATCCAAGAATCACCTGGTTTGGGGACACGTTCACCTCTCCAACACAGGTGGAATTTTTGGTGGATTATTCAGTATTCATCTTAAATGTTCTCCTGTACACACACGCACACGCACGCACACACACACACACACACACACACACACACACACACACACACATACACACAAACGGTCCCCAAAGTACTGTAATATCACAGTAACTTTAAACGTAAGCTATATATATGTATGTATGTATGTATGTATGTATGTATGTATGTATGTATGTATGTATATGTATGTATGTATGTATGTATGTATGTATGTATGTATGTATATTGTATAACCTTACCTTGAGGAACGTCCTTTGAGAAGCGTCGTCCACCAATAGAATCTCCTCGAGCAGCCTGGGCGGTGAGCGGTTGATGACAGAGTGGACGGTCCTCAGCAGGGTGGACCAGGCCTCGTTGTGGAACACTATAATGACAGAGGTGGATGGCAGACGATCCACCTTGAAGTCCTTGTCGTGGCACCTGGAGGGAGAGGCTGGTTTAGTGGTGGTGTGGTTTAGTGGAGGTCTGGTTTATTGGGGTCTGGTTTATTGGAGGTCTGGTTTATTAGAGGTCTGGTTTATTAAAGAAGGAGTTTTAAGAAAAATATTGACGTAATTACCCAAGTTATAAACAAACATTTAAACACTGTACACATAATATACAACACCTGTTTAGTTGTATATAAATTTACACCTGGGGGCTTACAGTAAACAAAAGAATGTATTGTTTACTAGTTGTTAGGGGTCACTTAAAAATTAACCTCCCCAGTTTGTTTACTCTGATGATTAAACACCCAACCACTACCTGAGGGGTGATGGTGTTAATGATGATGATAGGTGAGGTAAGGTAAGGTGAGGTTGAATGTTACGGTGTTAAATCATCAGAATAAACAAGCTTGGTGGGAGGGGGGGCTTACTTCTTCTTGCGGACGTCCGGGAGAGTGCGGTTGAGAGGGATGCGGTCAGAGGCG